ATGAAGAATGTGTGGTTGAAAAGAAAAGAGAGAAAAATGCATTTTGAAAAAAATAGATAACAAACGGGGGCTGAGTGAGTAATGTGATGCAAATTAAAATAGTGAGTGAAATGTAACCTTATGCAAAGTTTGGTGCATATTCAAACAATTAACTCCTAATTACCTCATATTTGATTTTTGATTAAAATTAGAATTTTAGTAGCTTTTTTTATATATTGATGGAATGGGTAATTTGCATAAAAGGTCTCTACTTTTCAATGTTGTTGTACAAAATACACATCTTTCATTTTTTGACATTTTTATCCCTACTCTTCATTGTACAAAAGGTCATTTTCATCCTTTTTTTTAATAAAATGATGATTTTACTCTCTATTCAAATAAAACAAAAAGAAAAGATGAATTACCAACTACAATCATAGTCCTTAAATTTTTAAAAAATTACAAAAAAAATCATAATTCTCCACCACCATCACTTTCACAACCTACCAAGCTGTCACCTATAGATCCGTATAGCACCACCTTTCGACCACCATGCCCACTAGATTCCACCACCACCAACCTTGCCTCATTTCCCCATCATTTTTCCACATAAGAATTTGAAAGATTGGAGCACTTAGGATTGGTCAAACAGCTCTAGCCATGCATTACGCTCGTAGAGAGTTTTGGACCAAAAATCGAAACGGTTGAGGGGATAATTTATTCAATTAGATTCACACCCATTGTCGTTTGGATTTGTTGATGATTCGATTGATGCCAATTTTGGATTTAGAATTGTGGGATGCATGAATTGAAGGAGAAGGGTTTGACAAAACGGATGCCGTCACTGTCGAATGTTCTAGAATAACAACAAAATGATTTGAGGCAATTCGATTGATGTGAGGCCATGTATAAGTTCGTCAGGGCGAGGGATAACCGTCGGTGGTGGTGCGCGACCTTGGATGGCACCCAAAGTGGGATTGCATTGAAGGGTTGTATACGACATTTTGGTATTTTGGGCTATAAATGTGGTTGTTTCGGATAGATTTGTGACCAATACTGTAGAGGAGGATGTTGGGGAGAGTGAGGTAAGGTTGGTGGTGGTAGAGTTCGACGGGTGTTGCGGCCGGAAGGTGGTGTTCTGTGGATCTATAAGTAATGGAGAATTTTGGACTTATCGGTAATATTTTAAAAAAATTAGGACTACGATTGCAATTAGTTATTTATTTTTCTTTTTTTTTTTGTTTTATTTGAATTGGAGGGTAAAATCGTCATTTGATTGAAAAATGGATGAAAATGACATTTTGAATAATGAAAAGTGAAAGGTAGAGGTAAAAATACCAAAAAATAAAATGTATGAACGTTTTGCACAAAAAATTGAAAAGTATGAACTTTTTGTACTAATTACCCTTGATAAAATATATGGTTACAAAGTTAATAAAGATTATGAATTTAACAAAATATGTGGTTAAAAATGAGTTCAAGGAAAATTCGAATTTTAAGAAATGAAGCGAATAAAGGTTAAATAAAAATAACATAATATAAGGAATAAAGTAAATAAACTATTCAATTTCTTATTAAATAATAAAAATAAATCTCTCCCAACTTTTTCTGCACAACCTTCTTTCTCCCGTAAGGATTTTGTACAGTTGAATTTAACTTTTATGGATCTCGAACTCGGTTTTAAATAATAAAAATAAATCTCTCCCAACTTTTTCTGCACAACCTTCTTCTCCCTTAAGGATTTTGTACAATCGAATTTAACTTTTTTGGATCTTGAACTCGGTTTTGACAAACTTGTTGACTAACTCTAGTAGTTTCATTGACGCAACCGGAAGGGAATAATTCGACTGCATGTAAATTAAAGTTTAGTAGTTTGATTGCACTAAAAGTAAAATTTAATGATCCACTTGCATATATGATAAAAGTTCAGTGACATTGAATGCAATTAGCCAATTGCTTGCAAGTTACACAGTCAAATTTTGACTCCAATATCAGACACGTGTCAGCATTTGACGGCCGACTTCGCCACGTGTCCTATTGACATTTCTTCCTTTATTACGACCGCCAAACATAAAACCCCACTAACCGCCGCCGTAGAGCGCCACCATTCCGTCCAAAACTCTCCCACCACAGTGTCAAAATGCGCCGCCTCAAAACCTCCGTTCAGTTTCTCAAACACTTTTCTACTCAGGCCCGTCTGCAGGATGCGGGTCCCATGGCCTGCCTTTTGAAAACCCGGTCCGTAATCCGATTCAAAGGACCCGACACCATTAATTTCCTCCAGGGGCTGGTAACCAACGATGTGCGGAGGCTTGAGGACCCGGAACCTGCGGGTGAGAATAGCGCCACACCCAACATGCCCGTGGTCGTAGTACCGCCTCTATACGCAGCATTGTTGACTCCTCAGGGAAAGTTTTTGTATGATTTTTTTCTTTATAAACCGCCCCGGCCTGATGAGAAGCTCGATAGAACTGGGTCTGGACCCGGATCCGACCCCGGTGAGCTGGAGATTTACGCTGATGTTGATCGGTCTGTGCTCGATGAGGTCTTGATGACATTAAAGAAGTGAGTTTTGGGTTCTTATTTTTGTTTTTTATTTCAATATATCCAAAAGTTAATAACTTTCTTTATTAATTTTTTTTATTTTTTTTGGCTAAAATTGGAGTCTTCACAATAAAATTTAGTAGGGATTAATTGAGGCAATATTTACTATGGAAAGGCTAACTTATGAATTTGAAGCTTCAACTTTTCAATGTTGTAGACGTATTGCCAGTATGATAGTTTTTGTTGTGGTTGCTGCATGTGATAATTATCCAGGTTAATCAGAAGAAGTAGGACCCAAATAACCTGCATGGGCGATCTTTGCGAATGCACTAAGTTCTTTAGCAGAAGTATTGAGCTTATTCTAGAGAGCTGCATATAGGCTATTCGTGGCATTTTGTTGGAGATGGTTTTAGAGAAACTTGTGATTTCGAAGAGAGCTCATGATTATACATAAAAAATTGGTAGTTTGATTGATCAAATGCTATAAGATCTTGGAATGTATGATGTTTACGTCATAATTTCACATGCATTCCGAGGCGAAATGGAGGAATCCCTAGATAGCTTGGTTGCTCCAAGGGGGCAAGATGCTTGAGGAGTTTTAAGTGCTTATTTTATGGCGCGTAGGAAATATTTCAAATTGTGCGAGTTATTGTGGAAACAAATTAATGATTGGCATGATGAAGTATCACGGGGAATGGTCAAGTATCTAGCTGATACAATTGTGAGTTCTTTGAGGCAAACTTTGAAGTTTTTTAATTGAAAACTGGCTATAACATGGTGCAGTAACTCCAAAAAAGGGAAGACTGTTCCTAACAAGAATGTGCATTGATGCTCATGCCTAGTGTACTTAAAGGCCGGTTTGCTTGGCTTTAGCTCCTACTTTTGCAATCTGTAGAAGGTCCTTTGGAGGAAATCTTAATTTTTGTTTGTAAACTAATTTTTAAAAGAACTTTCTATTCTCGAAGTGTTTTTAGAGAAATTCATATTAAACTATCTTCCTCCAGAACATCTTCTAACAAGAAGAAGTAATTTCGTAAAATTAGCCAAATGAGGCCAAAAGTAGTATTTGGATTTCGAAAGCTCCTTTTGACTCTTCAAAAGCCATGCCAAATGGGTACTAAGTGGAATTTAATCTTAATCACTTGTCTAGATCATCCTGGAAGCATAGAATTAATGATGCATTTGAGGTATAGAAGGACTGAGGTAGGAGATTAGGAGATTGAAGTAAAGAGTGCATAAAGATAGAATCACCAAAATACCCTTGTTTGAGCTCCATTTTAATGAGGTTTTAGGTAAATTTGTATTTTTGAATAGTGATTTTTTTAGAGAATGGTGAAAAAATAAGGAAAAATTTTGAGTTTACGTGTAATATTATTTTAATGAAGAATGTGGGGTTGAAAAAAAGATATCTTAATCACTTGTCTAGATCTTCCTGGAAGCATAGAATTAATGATGCATTTGAGGTATAGAAGGACTGAGGTAGGAGATTAGGAGATTGAAGTAAAGAGTGCATAACGATAGAATCACCAAAATACCCTTGTTTGAGCTCCATTTTAATGAGGTTTTAGGTAAATTTGTATTTTTGAATTAGAGAATGGTGAAAAAATAAGGAAAAATTTTGAGTTTACGTGTAATATTATTTTAATGAAGAATGTGGGGTTGAAAAAAAGAAAGAGAAAATACATTAAAATTAAAATAGAGCCCCAAACATGGACTATATAAGTTGCCATTTATAATAAGCCTGCTATCACTATGGAGCAGTCGGAATGAGGTGACCTACCTCTAGCAGTTGTGCAAATTGTCAATCTTTCATTACTGAAAAGTTATCGAGCAAGTATATCATATGACAAGGGAAAACCACGTTGTACAGTGCTGGTGTATGGTCTGATCAAATAGATAAGCAAATGGTTTTCAAAGGGATCAAGAGAAATGAAGTAACTGGAAAGATTGTTAGAGTCACCTTCTTCTAGAAGGATCATCTAGAAAGCGATTCGTTTTGAAAGATTTCATTGAAATTGTTCGTTTGAAAATTTCCCTAAAAGCTCTCCTGTAGCTGGAACCTCCGGAATCACAAGAATTCTTAGTTAGAACGGGAACATGCAAAAGCCGCAACAATAAAATAGTATCAAAGAGAAGTGATTCCACTCTTTTCCTAAAATCCTACGACTATTATTACATAATATGACAAGAAAGATCACTCTCCTACTTTGTGATTTCTTATGCAAGTATAGCAGCTTGTTCAAGTTCTCATCAAAATATACGATTATTTTCATACAAGTTATTGCCAATGTGATTTCTAACGTATGCCGTCTTTATAATTCGTCAAAGTTTCAATTTTTATTTTTATTTTATTTATTTTTTTATTTAGAGCCTGTTTGAGTCCTATTCTATTGTAAGAATGCATTTTGGAATGATAAATTGACGGAGAATATGTGGTTAAAAATTAAGAAGTTTTGGATTTACGTGATATTATTTTATTGAACGATGTGTGGTTGAAAAGAAGAGAGCAAAATGTATTTTTGGAAATAGTGAGGATCAAACAAGAGCTTAATTTAGGATTTAGTTTATATGATTCATTATGTTACATGAGAATTCTCTGTTCATTAATGTTAAAAAGGCAAGCTCTGTATAACAATGAATGGATCAACTATGCTCTATGGTTCTGACTTAGTATTGGGCTCTTAAATCTCAAAATGTTCATAAACTGAATGTAGTGAAAATGAAAATGTCAAGATGGATGTGCTGTCATTCTAAAATGGATAAGATAAGCAATGAAAAATATGCCAATAAGCAGTGGTGGCATGGATTGAGTATAAATTAAGGAAAAGAATTGGATGGTTCATTCATGTTCTGCATCAAACTAAAGAAGCCTCCTTTCATGAAAGTGACATGGTTTGGACTGATCAAATTGGAAGAGGGAGGGGTAACTAAAATTAACATAAACTGTCCTAGTTGTAAATATCTAGTTAGTTTAGTTCCCCCCCCCCCCCCCCCCCGATCTAGCAATCAATGAAGGGCATGCAAATAAGGATTTATGCCATCAAATTTTATTGGGGATAAGGCTCAGTCTGTTGTAGTTGTTATTCATTTCGAAGGTCCTGGATACCATATGTTTTAGGTGGTCACAGAGGCTGTGTAAGCCTTGACATTTCAATCTATTTTAAGTATTTTGTTTTTATGTTGTTTATTTATTTTATTTTCAAATTGAGAATCTCTTACACACTTCCATGTTAGGATAGATCACTAAATTCCACATATAAGTATGTAGATACAGTTCCTCTCACTATCAATAATACTCAAGCCCCAATCATGACTAAGTTTTCTCTCTGCTGGAGCATGTCTCATTTCATGCCAGAAATACTTTTTCCTGTCAAGAACTTATTGTAGTTGAGAAAGAAACTTTATTCTGGCTCTTGTTTCTTCTTATCTTACCAATGCATGATTCCTATTCTTGTCAAACCTTCCACGGAATTTGTCCTAAGGTGGCATGACTCAAACTTCGAATTTATCATCCAAAGACTCTCTGCTTAGGAAGACGTATTGGCTGCTAGATTTTGTATGTATCTAGTAAATCACTAGGTTTCCCTTCCCTCCCCAACCAGTTATCGGATATCATTATTTTAGCTAGGATGTAAAACAAAATGATGGCCTGATATCAATTTCCACCTCTTTGTGGCTGAGTGACACACGCTGAATGTACTGATGTGGCTTCTGGCATCTGAGTTCTATGCAAAAAAATTCTTCATAGGTTGTACAAAGAGGAACACATTTCTAGTTCTTCTTGTTCTCTTCTCCTCAGCAATAAAGACCGAGTACCTAAGATTATAGGTGTGACAAGCTTACATAATTCTTTGATTATTAGCATAACCAAAAAAATTGCTTAAACCTTGGGCAATTAGTATAACTAAAAGAATGTGTCCTTGAGCCGAACTCTAATATAACTTTTGCAATTAATTCTGATTTTGCAGGTACCGTTTAAGGTCCAAGGTTGATATTGAAAACATGGCAGAAGAGTTCTCTTGCTGGCAAAGGTTTGGTGGGAAAATTGCAGAGAAGTCATCTTCTCCAGAAGCATTGGAAGGTAATTCAGTTGGCTGGGGTGGTACTGTTGATCCTTCTGGCGTATCAGCTTCAAGAGGACATAATTCTGGTTGGTACTGGAACAAGGATCCCAGATTGGATTGCCTTGGAGATAGAAGCATCTTTCCTTCGAGCACAACACGTATGTTCTGTCAATCTACCTTCCCTTGCCTTCTTATATTTTATTTTGTTTCATCTATCGTACTCGGTTCATTATGTGGTTGAAACGTTGTATTACTACAGACTTGAGAACTTTAGACTTGCAAAATGAGGTGAAGTTGGAATTCTGAAACAAAAAATTTGGTTTGCTGGTGTCGGCACTTGCCACAAGTGTTTTCTGTTCAACAAAAGAATTCCTCCAGTATTTATGTTCTAATTTTCGTTTATTTGTTGCAGCACCTCTAGTTGAGGTGGATGAAGAAACAGATGAAGAAAATTTTCTTCTGTGGAGATTGGAGAAAGGAGTTGCTGAAGGCTCAACAGAGATTCCCAAAGGTAAAAGTTGATTCCACAAAACTTACTCTGGACTTCCTTTGAAATAATCAGTATAAGACCTTCTTCTTATGCTTGAGATGCTTCAGAAATGTTTGTATTTCATATTATTGCTAAGAAAATATCATGGTTAGGAATACTTGAACACAGTCTCTTTATACAGGTCAAGATCTTTGTGATCCCTATATGCATCTTTTTTACCCTGACATGTGATTGTCATTTTCAGGACATTGCAAGAAAAATTCCCATCTTGCTTGTCTCCCATTCTTCATCCATTTTCTCTTACACGTTTTTAATGTGGCATGTAGGGGAAATCACTTCTTGGTACTGTCTCTAAAGCAACTGATTTAATAACGTTTCTTTCTGTATTTTCTGTGGTGGTCCAACTTCCAACCATTTGGGATTAATCCACTAGAAGCAGTTACAAGGAAAGATGGCCTGGAAAAAATCTGTTTCAACGTGTAAAGGGATAAGATATTGGGAAGAAAGTCCTAAAAATGATCTGTTTGTGGAGACCAGCCTTGATTTTTTTTTCTTTTGAATCAATTTACCGAGCTTGATTACATTTAAGCTGGCTTATTACTGGGAAAGATAACAGAATGCAGGAGACGAGATTGCTAAGAGGTAAAAGCAATATTGTATAACAATTAACCAAAAATACAATCCCCTATTTATAGGGCTGGAATATCTACCAAATTACACAAATATGCTAAGTCTATAAATAAGGAAATACAATATATAATAACCATAAAGAAACCGTGTCATATGGTAACAAATAACCACTAAATCAGCTTTGATATTCTGGAGTATTCAACACTCTCCCTTGAGCTGGATGATATAAATTAAACAATCCCAACTTGTCCACCATTTTCTCGAATGTAGGTTTAGACAATTCCTTCTTCTATAAGTCTGCAACTTGATCAGATTACGGCGGATATACCATGCTTATTGTCCCATTTTCTATCTTCTCTTTGATGAGATGCTAATCAATCTCAACATGTTTAGTCCTGTCATGATGAACTAGATTATGTGACATTGCAATGGCTGCATGGGCTATCTTCATGAATACCAAGTTTTTCTAACAGTAACATTAACTACATTATCTCCCAAATTTCATGTGCCAAAGCTCTGAATTCAGCTTCAGGACTGCTACTGGCCACAACTGGTTGCTTCTTACTCCTCTAGGTGACTAAATTTCCCCATATAAAAGTACAATATCCAGTTGGACATCTTCTGTCCACTACTAATCCTGCCCAATCAACATCCGTAAAAGCTTCAATAGATCTTTTAGAGTTCTTTATGAAGAAAAGACCAAGCCCAAGTGTCCCATTTAGATATCTCAAGATTTGATAAACAACTTCTATATGCTTTTTAAATGGAGCATGCATGAATTGACTTACAACGCTTACTGCAAAAGCAATATCAGGTGTAGTGTGTGACAAGTAAATGAGTTTACTTACTAGACGTTGATATCTTCCCTTATCAACAGGTACACCTCCTAAAAAATCCCCCGGTTTGTGATTAGGATTTATAGGAACATTGGCCGGTTTACTTCCTAACATACCCGTTTTTCCTAAGAGGTCCAAAACATACTTTCTCTGTGAAATAGAGATTGCATTTCTATTTCTTGCAACTTCCCGTCCAAGAAAGTATAGTAAGGGATCTAAGTCTTTTATTTCAAATTCTGTCGCAAGAGCTTTCTTTAGTCTCTCCATTTTTTCATAGTTATCACCTATTAGAACTATATCATCCACATAGACTATTAGTATGATAATTTTTCTTCCCGATTTCCTGTAGAACATAGTGTGATTAGATTGGGCTTGTTTATATCCTTATTGGCATACAACTTTCATAAACCTACCAAACCAAGCTCATGGAGATTGCTTTAATCCATATAATTATTTTTCTAATTTACAAACCTTTCCTTGGATCTTATCTTCATTGAACCCAGGAGGGAGTTCCATATATACTTGCTCTTCCAAGTCGCCATTCAGAAAAGCATTTTTTACGTCCAGTTATTGGAGTTCCCAGTCTAGATTTGCTGTTAACATCAAAAGAACTCTCACCGTGTTCAATTTTGCAAATGGAGCAAAGGTTTCTTGGTAGTTCACTCCGTAAGTTTGAGAATATCCCCTTGCTACTAACTTGGCTTTATAGCGTTCCACCAAACCATTTGACTTGTATTTAACTGAGAACACCGATTTGCACCCAACTGTTGCCTTTCCCTTAGGTTTTTCCACAATTTGCCATGTTCTATTTTTATTCAAGGTTGCCATCTCTTCTTCAAGTGCTTTCCTCCATTCTGGAATTGACAGGGCTTCATGAATAGACTTTGGTATCCCAATTCATGATAGATTCATAGCCAGAACCTCGATCAAGATAGATGACTTTATCCAATGAAATTGGAGATAGGATGTTGTGTACAAGATCTAACACACTTTCTGACTGCTTTAGGGACATCTAAATCATTAGTAGAGTCATTTTTTGGGATAGAGAAATTACCTGAGTTCAAATCAGATTCATGGTTCTGCTGTTGAACTTTGAGATGTTCCACAATTTTCAGGATTTTTCCTTCTTGAATAAACACGTCGGTCAGGTGTCATTGCAAGTTGTTTCTCTCTCCCTGTCATTAAATTTGGTTGAACAAGAGGATCAACATGTTGTGGATTAGACTGATTTAATAACGTTTCTTTCTGTATTTTCTGTGGTGGTCCAACTTCCAACCATTTGGGATTAATCCACTAGAAGCAGTTACAAGGAAAGATGGCCTGGAAAAAATCTGTTTCAACGTGTAAAGGGATAAGATATTGGGAAGAAAGTCCTAAAAATGATCTGTTTGTGGAGACCAGCCTTGATTTTTTTTTCTTTTGAATCAATTTACCGAGCTTGATTACATTTAAGCTGGCTTATTACTGGGAAAGATAACAGAATGCAGGAGACGAGATTGCTAAGAGGTAAAAGCAATATTGTATAACAATTAACCAAAAATACAATCCCCTATTTATAGGGCTGGAATATCTACCAAATTACACAAATATGCTAAGTCTATAAATAAGGAAATACAATATATAATAACCATAAAGAAACCGTGTCATATGGTAACAAATAACCACTAAATCAGCTTTGATATTCTGGAGTATTCAACACTCTCCCTTGAGCTGGATGATATAAATTAAACAATCCCAACTTGTCCACCATTTTCTCGAATGTAGGTTTAGACAATTCCTTCTTCTATAAGTCTGCAACTTGATCAGATTACGGCGGATATACCATGCTTATTGTCCCATTTTCTATCTTCTCTTTGATGAGATGCTAATCAATCTCAACATGTTTAGTCCTGTCATGATGAACTAGATTATGTGACATTGCAATGGCTGCATGGGCTATCTTCATGAATACCAAGTTTTTCTAACAGTAACATTAACTACATTATCTCCCAAATTTCATGTGCCAAAGCTCTGAATTCAGCTTCAGGACTGCTACTGGCCACAACTGGTTGCATCTTACTCCTCTAGGTGACTAAATTTCCCCATATAAAAGTACAATATCCAGTTGGACATCTTCTGTCCACTACTAATCCTGCCCAATCAACATCCGTAAAAGCTTCAATAGATCTTTTAGAGTTCTTTATGAAGAAAAGACCAAGCCCAAGTGTCCCATTTAGATATCTCAAGATTTGATAAACAACTTCTATATGCTTTTTAAATGGAGCATGCATGAATTGACTTACAACGCTTACTGCAAAAGCAATATCAGGTGTAGTGTGTGACAAGTAAATGAGTTTACTTACTAGACGTTGATATCTTCCCTTATCAACAGGTACACCTCCTAAAAAATCCCCCGGTTTGTGATTAGGATTTATAGGAACATTGGCCGGTTTACTTCCTAACATACCCGTTTTTCCTAAGAGGTCCAAAACATACTTTCTCTGTGAAATAGAGATTGCATTTCTATTTCTTGCAACTTCCCGTCCAAGAAAGTATAGTAAGGGATCTAAGTCTTTTATTTCAAATTCTGTCGCAAGAGCTTTCTTTAGTCTCTCCATTTTTTCATAGTTATCACCTATTAGAACTATATCATCCACATAGACTATTAGTATGATAATTTTTCTTCCCGATTTCCTGTAGAACATAGTGTGATTAGATTGGGCTTGTTTATATCCTTATTGGCATACAACTTTCATAAACCTACCAAACCAAGCTCATGGAGATTGCTTTAATCCATATAATTATTTTTCTAATTTACAAACCTTTCCTTGGATCTTATCTTCATTGAACCCAGGAGGGAGTTCCATATATACTTGCTCTTCCAAGTCGCCATTCAGAAAAGCATTTTTTACGTCCAGTTATTGGAGTTCCCAGTCTAGATTTGCTGTTAACATCAAAAGAACTCTCACCGTGTTCAATTTTGCAAATGGAGCAAAGGTTTCTTGGTAGTTCACTCCGTAAGTTTGAGAATATCCCCTTGCTACTAACTTGGCTTTATAGCGTTCCACCAAACCATTTGACTTGTATTTAATTGAGAACACCGATTTGCACCCAACTGTTGCCTTTCCCTTAGGTTTTTCCACAATTTGCCATGTTCTATTTTTATTCAAGGTTGCCATCTCTTCTTCAAGTGCTTTCCTCCATTCTGGAATTGACAGGGCTTCATGAATAGACTTTGGTATCCCAATTCATGATAGATTCATAGCCAGAACCTCGATCAAGATAGATGACTTTATCCAATGAAATTGGAGATAGGATGTTGTGTACAAGATCTAACACACTTTCTGACTGCTTTAGGGACATCTAAATCATTAGTAGAGTCATTTTTTGGGATAGAGAAATTACCTGAGCTCAAATCAGATTCATGGTTCTGCTGTTGAACTTTGAGATGTTCCACAATTTTCAGGATTTTTCCTTCTTGAATAAACATGTCGGTCAGGTGTCATTGCAAGTTGTTTCTCTCTCCCTGTCATTAAATTTGGTTGAACAAGAGGATCAACATGTTGTGGATTAGGTAGTAGGGGAAAATTAATGGACGAAGGTTGTTCTAATATAGGAGGAGATGGTGTGGATATCGAGACCAGAAATTCTTCAGTTGGTTCAGTGAGTGACAGAAGTAACTGTGTAGTTTCCCAAAAATTCCCATCATCAATACGATTTTCCTTCCCCCGAGGGGAATTGTGGGGAAAGTAGGGAAGAGACAAAAAAAAAAAGTAACATCCATATATATATAATACCTACGAGTGACCAGGGAATAACACCTGTAACCCTTTGAGTTGGAGAATATCCTAAGAACACACGTTTTCAGGCATTAAGGTTTAATTTGGTGCGTTCATGATCATGAATATGGGTGAAAACAGTACAATTAACCACTCTTAGGGTTATAGAAAGGATGAATCGGAGTTGTGGGTATGCTTGATAGAACTATTAATGGAGTCCTGAAGTTGTGTATTCTAGTAGGCATTCTGTTTATAAGGTAGCATCCCCCCTAAAACACTTTTGGAACCTGACTAGTAAACGTGAGAGCCCTAGTTGTTTTTAGGAGATGGCGATTTTTTCTCTCGGCAATACCATTTTGCTAGGGTGTAAGAACACAAGAACTTTGATGTAAATTGCCTTTGTCATTAAGAAAATTTCCCAAAACTTAATTGAAGTATTCCCACCCATTATCAATTCGAAATATTTTAATGCTTTCATTAAATTAAATTTCAATCATAGAGTAAAATTTTTTAAAGATTTGTGCATTTTCGAATTTATCTTTTAACAAGTAAACCCAGCATACCCTCATATGGTCATCTGTAAAAGCTATGAACCAACGTTTACCCGTAATATCCTTAACTCTAGGACTCAATAAATCACTATATATTAAAGCAAACGGCAATGAAGATTTATACTCATGAGACAGGAATGAAGAACACGAATGTTTAGCCAATTGACAAATATCACGATGGAATCTATCTTTATTGCGAAACAATGATGGAAATAAATATTCAAGATATAAAAAATTGGGGTGAACTAAACGACGATGCCACAGTATTATTTCTTGTTCTCTAGAGGTAGATTCATAGTTTGCACTTTGAGCTTGTTTATTCGAGCAAGCATCCTCTAGAAAATAGTATAGTCCCTCATGTTCTTTAGCATTGCCAATCCTCTTGCTCGAAGTTAGATCCTGAAAAATACATGACTCATTAAAGTTTACACTGCAATGCAAATCTCTAGTTAATTTGCTAATAGAAAGGAAATTGCAAGAAAGGGTCGGAACATGTAAAACAGATTTTAATTCAACATATGGACTAAGTTTAATAGTCCCAATTCCAAGGTGAGAGCGCCCTGTCTACTATTTTTACTTTAAAATTTCCCGGACGCGGTGAGTACAAATAAAACAATTTTTCACAACCCGTCATGTGGTCCGTGGCTCTTAAGTCAATATGCAAAGTTGGATCGGACTTCCAGAGAGAGCAGTAATGGGTAGGGGATTATTTGCAGTGGGTGCACTTGTAGAGATAGGCTGAGGCCTTGGAATCCTCATCCCTGCGTGCACCAGTCATGGCCGTCCTATTCATTTTGCCGGCTCAAATAACCCAGTGCTCTGATACCATATTTCTCGGAAAGATAACAGAATGCAGGGGCCGAGATTGCTAAGAGGTAAAGGCCATATTGTATTACAATTAACCAAACATACAATCCCCTTTTTATAGGGCTGGAATGTCTACCAAATTATACAAATATGCTAAATCTATAAATTAGGAAATACAATACATAATAACTATAAAAAAACTGTCATATGGTAACAAATAACCACTAAATCAGCTTTGATATTCTGGAATATTCAACATGGCTATTATAAATTCATTGGTGAATTAACATTTTGTCCCTCCTGTTATTATTCAGTCTAACCTTGTCCCCCACCCACCAAATCCACTACCACCAGAAGCAAAGAAAATAAATCTAAGTGGATGCACTAAATTTTCCTTCCTGGATTTTCGTTGAAAGGATAAGTTTGGTTGAACAGTTATTCTCCCATGGTAAAATGAGAATGGGAGAAAGTGAAAGATTGCCTCAAAGTTGTTCAACTTGTAAAGGGAAAAAAAATGGAATCAATGAGTAAAGCGAAAATACCCAACAAAAGAGGTATGAAAGCATTAGCAATCCTAGTAATTGAGATTTTGAACAAAGAAAACAGTCTACCACTCTCAAAGGATGAACGAATTCGGTATTGATCAGGCAGGGAGAAAACCAAGCAAGTTTGCATTATATGAAATTTTTTTTTTGGTGGAAGGCCCTGAGCAAACTGAGTATATAGCTGAGTATTAAAATTTATATGAAATGCAACCTTCTCTCTTTCTTATCGATATGCAACGGGATTGATAAAAAATATTAGTGTGGAGAAACCATCTATGGGGGTGCAAAAGGCGATATGAGAGAAAGATGAGCTTCGTGCAGTAAGTTGTGCCCAGCCACTGCTGTTGGACTTAGCTGGATTGATTGGATATGTGCCGCCAAACAGTGCTGTGAACTAGCTCATATCCAGGTGTACAGCACACGGATGCTCCAAATTCTTTGTCTTTTGTTCTCCATCTGTTTATCCTTTTTATGCTTCCGTTCTGTTTTCTGAAGTGCGGTATATATGTGGTCAAGAAACATTTATTTGAAGCTTTAATTATGCGAAGAACATGCTTTAAAACTTCAATGAAAACCCCCTCAACCTGTGAAATCGACTTTTTGTCTTTGTAGAGAAGACCACTGATTGATGCACTGACTATTTCTGTATGGTTCAATTCCAATGTAAGTGCACTAGATATATAAATTTTGAGCTACTATTTGGACCAATTATATCTTGTAGGTGAGGCAATTCCACTGGAATACAATCTTGCTGGTTTAAACGCGATAAGCTTTGACAAAGGATGCTATGTGGGCCAAGAGCTCATTGCTCGTACTCATCACCGTGGTGTTATCCGAAAGCGTTTGGTTCCTTTGAAATTTCTCAATGACAGCGGAAAAGGTACTACTGCTCAATCATTTCCATGTCACTCCATCTTGGTGTGTCAACAATTTTCTCTTTTTTGATTCAGAGGTAGAGCAAAAAGTTGCTGCAGGTTCAGAAGTAATTGACAAGACATCTGGAAAAAAGGTTGGGACAGTCACCACTGCACTTGGATATCGTGGTCTGGGACTCCTGCGCTTGGAAGAAGCTTTCAAAGACATGAGCACCTTGACCATAAAAGGACAAGAAGACATTAGAGTCGAGAGCATTAGACCAGAATGGTGGCCAGCTGAGTGGTTTCAAGATCATCGACACGTTAATGAAGCTGGTTAAAGCATTCATTTCAGGGATTTCGTTTTGCTGACTTTCTTTTGGCCTTCTTACATCCGAAGGAATGGAAGTTCCAGAGTTCGTCACACTGGAGCAGAAGATTGGGGCAATTCTTGTGATTTACTGAAACCTTAGCACAAAGTTTTTCAATCTTTGGCAGCTTTTGTAGATGCAGCCGGTAGTGTTTACTCGCGAAGCTGGATAACTGGTCAGTAAATAACTGCACCAGTGATGATTTCTTTATAATTATCCAAACGATTTAACAAGACATGATCCTTTTAACGGATAATATATTGTGCTTAGAAAGTTCTTAATGCAGAGTTTTTCTTTTGTACAATTGTATGTACTGTGCATATTGAAGTAGTTATTTAAGTGATATAAAACAGTGAAGAGTTTATTTTAGTGCCAGAAACACCATCAAAGTTGCTCTTATTTCTGAACACGAAAGATAGTCACAAACGAAAATAAGTTCATCTACACAAGCTGTCTAAATTCCGACACTTCCTATCATTGTACAAGGTTTCAAGGTAGAGAAGCAGCAAACTGAGAATGATAAACTCGAATGTCAAGTTCGGCAATACTTTATTCGACGCTATGGTTTGCTCATTATCGGAGACTAGGTGCAGCAAAAGAGGTGTGCTCTCCAAATTTTGAGAATCTGTACCTTCTGGAGTCAGAGGTGGTTCGTTTTCATTCGAGGAGCTACCAATGTCCCTCTTATCATCCTCTGGTGCATCATCAGGATCTCCTTTTCTACTGTTTTGTTCACTTGAACTTCCACCAGGACCATCCTTCGGCACGCCTCGGACCAAGTCTTGTCGAGCGTCAACACCCACCCGTCTTAAGTGTAACTGTTGTAATCGAGATAATTATCAGGTAATTCTTTGTAGTCTAGTTGCACGAGCACGAATTGCAGATAAAAAATATTCCTGCATGAATACCTGAAGATGAAGATTTACTTCATCCGGTCGTGAAAGAAAAGGAAAATCACCACCGGTCTTGAGAAGCCCTAGTCTGGCACCAGGGTACCTTTCGACCACTTGATCTTTAAGTTGCTGAGAAATTGCACAGAAATCGTTCGTCTTCAAGCAGCCATAACCACACCAAAAAAGTCAGAAAATTTTCATTCTCTACAGCATACTCAAGCTTAAATTAACTTCAGTAACAATCATAAGGATTTAAAACAACAATTACGGATCAAGACATCTTAGTCCATCTGATGTAAGCCTGACTAGCCCAGTATCCAAAAGTAGGAGCAGAAATAATAAGTTTGCTGGGAAAATCTGCCGACTAAAAGGACTCTAATTACCGTACTTGGAAGAATAATTACGCAAGTGCTTATACACAATATTGAATGTACACTATTATAAACAAGTATTTGGCTTCTTTTTTCTTCCAGACCACTGTCTACTTCTATCCAAACCTCCCTACTAGAGATGTCATGCGGAAACGTAAATTGCCTTTGGAACATACCAGAAATAAGTAGTAGTAAACATTTTATTACTCTGTTTTATTTTGATAATTACTTCAGTGAATTTTTCAAACCTACGGAGAATTCCTGCCCCAGTATTAAATTACCAGGGAGGTCTAAAGAAGTTCCATACCTTGTTAGGTGGTTAGTGTCGATGAGAATCTTGATCATAAAAGAGATAGATCTGCAACTAAATATGTTATATATCTAAAGTTGTGCGAACATACATCCATTATAGTGATTAAAGAATCTGAAAGCACAAGTGGTCCTACTGATGCAGCATCAACCGTTAAACTCAATCTGGAAGCCAAGTCCTCTCTCGACAGAGTTTCAACCTGCAGGGAAGTTCAATATTTACAGATTAAGTACTAAAAAGAATACTCCGGTCTAGTAACTCCACTTGGTAAAAAATTCTAGGTAACCTGTTTAACTGTGTCAAAAAAAAAAAAAAAAAAAAAAAAAAAAGAAAACAAAAAAAAAACTTAAAAAAAATGGAAAAAAATTGGGCAGAAATAGTCGATTGGGCTGACTGTTCTACCTCGCCATTTTTTATGAGCTTAAGCTTTTTTTTTTTTTTTTTTTTTTTTCAAAAATGCTAAAAGATTATCATCATGTACACACATGCCAGATACATGACATCATCTGCGGGAAATTCTTTCCTGGGTTATGCCTCCTAACTGCGCTGCTAACAAATCATCCATCCCATGCAAAAAGGGGAACTAATAAAGAATTCAAAAGGAAAACTTCAAAATGGGAGGATGAGGGGAAGTTGAGGAGAACAATAATATCATATGTTACTTTTGACTCTTCTAAATGCGTGAAGTATCAACATCAGAGCTTTGACACTTATGTGACACTTATTTGATCTAGAAAGTATATCAAAGATGTTTTTGTTCTACAACTATTTCAAATATATATAAATTGCATTTTGAACTGATGTATCAGATGACTTTACCATAGAAATACAGAAAAAAAGATTAGTATTTGTTTTTCTAGTCAGGTGTGCTGATTTTACAGGTCTGGCAAAACCAATGTACGGACTCATACATTGAGTTTATGTTCAGGAATGTGAAAAACACGTTTCTTCCAGTCATGATGAATTCTAGCTTAGAATGGCAGAAAACTTTTAAAATTAATATCGTGGAAGAATGTGGTCAAATAATTTATTTAGAAAATATTCATATCAAAAAGAGCAGTTGAAAGCAATAAATTTTAAATTTAATCTTTTTGAAGAACTTCAGGGAATGAAATAACTTGCATTGACGAAAGAAAATGAAAGTATAAATCACTTTGGCATGTGAAAATGTGATAGGCCCCCCATTAGATACACCTATTCTAGAAAGATATTGGCGTAACAGCATCAGTAGGGAGAAGTTATAAATAGAAGTAAGACGGAAACAATAGGCAGGCAATAGATGAGTATTAGGAAGCCTAGTTTACTTCTGCTGTGCATTTCTCTGTAATTGCATACAAAACTCAATAACAATTCTCTGTTTCTATTTTCTTCCAGTGAAGTCCTAACAAAAATGTTCTAGTTTGCTTAATGGAGACGGTCAAATTACTATTAATGTTTACAGGATACAGGTAAATAGAATACTTTCAGAATTTACATTCAATTTACTTATTTTATCATGAACCATTGAACATTATGTTTGCTTCCCACTTTCTTTTTCACCCATTTTTCTAGCCAGATGGAAGTTTTGAGAACAGTGACACCCGTCACTCGATAAATTTACTACAATAACCCAAATATAAATCTTTTTTCTTTTTGGTCATGGATATGCCATAACCTCGGGTCTAAGATAGAGCATAAAGCTGAAACATACCACTTCAGATTTTCTTCGGTGGATAAATAATTTGAATTGGATTAAGAAGACAATGACTTGTATCACATAAAGCTCGTGTGCATCAAATCAAAAGTGTCATGGATAACATACAGGGGAGCCCATGGCATGGCTGCAGAAACACTACTTGTCTCCAAAAATGTGTTTGACAGTACCAAGGACCTAACTCGTCGTGGACGATGCAATGCAAAAAGTTGAGCTAAGAAGCCTCCAAGAGATGTGCCATAAAGATGTATCTGGTAAATAAAAATGAAACAACCACTTCAGTTTACGATTAAACTAATGTCATCACATACAGCCATGAAAGCGTAGATTTTTGGTAAAAGACAGTAGGTTTTCACATCAAATAAAATTTCCAGAAAGTTGATTGTTTCTTTGAAACTTGACAGTAAAGATCAACCTCTTTGTTGTACCAAGACACGAAGTGGTCCTTGTATCCTCATCCTGTTGATTAGCCCATCGTTCCTTGCGTGGCATACATCCAGTAAGGAAATGGTGTTTGAAAGTGCAAATGTAAATGAATATAACTTATATTTTCAGTTGTGCGAAGCAATTGAACCTATGTGCCATTGATATTTATTTCATTTGTCACTGTCGCTCTTTTATTGAAATTTGGTTTATGCTAATATTTGGTAATTTTCAATCTACCAAGTGGTTCACATGTTTCCTTATGTTTTGTCCATGCCACTTCAGCATTGAGATAAAAGAAAAGGAAACATTTTATTGTTCACATGAACAATATGCTACATTTTCCTCCCAATTAACCAGTGTACACCAATATCATCCAAACAACCGTAAAGTTTAGACTACTAACAACCTTGTGTTCCGAATTATACAGTAGAATCACCATGCTGCAACCTATTTGCCTATAATATTGTAAGATGGAGAATACAGCATCAAATCTTTTCCTTTTTTTGAATAATACAGCACAAAGATGACCCATGTTTGGATTTCAAAATTATAAAATTTATTGAAAATGAGATGGAAACCTCAATAAGCATTTTCAATGCATCACATATGAATACCCCTTTTGTGTGTTTCTGAGTTCTGTACTTTGTAATAATGGATTCTTGCGTACCACGATGATCCCCTGAACTAACTAGAACTATAAAGTACCGAATACGGGGAATTCACTTACAAATTCCCTAAAATAACTTCTGGTACGGACATAGCTAATGCTCATAACTTAGAGAAGGATGTTCGTAAGGACACTGGCACACTCTGGCCTTATCAACATATTTGGGCTACCACATCTAAAAATAAGAACTGCCAAAATTCTAAAGTAGTAGTCACATTTTCCACCCACAGCTTATGTGAGATGGGACATTTTGAACTCTCCCACTCAAATGCATGACATAGTAGTTGTGTCCAACCCATATTCCATCGCCTACCCCCCCCCCCCAAGTCAAAACTCGTCCAAGCCACCAGGAGAGTGGCTTAATTGATCAAATACGTGTGCCTTAATATAATTTTTAATTCTAGTGTCTCAAATCTGACGTCTTCTTTTCAAGAATTCCACAAGTTTTCTTCATTCCATTTTAACACATGTCAATAGTATAGGAGAGAAGGAAAATTTTAATCCTTCACATTAAGAATTCGATACGTTTGCCTCCCAATTCACCAGTGTACAGCAATAACATCCAGGGATAGGAATGGCAGCCTTTGTAAGCTCATGAACGTCAATGCTCAGGTAGAATTCCAAAGTTAAAACTCAATGATCGCCTGCAGCATCTTTTTCTTATGTGTGAATCAGAATCAAGCCCTTTTAAAGGGTTCAAACCTAGAGATACATCGGAACACTGCTAATGGAACTTTATTATATCTTAGGATAAAAGACCAGTTCCATGTGAAAGGCAATTCTCTGAGGCAAAAATTACAAGGGAAATTACAAAAGTTTAGTGTGTGAAAAAAATAATAATAATAATAATAATAATAATAATAAAATATATATATATATATATATATATTACTCTAGCAAGCTTTGATGAACACAAAATATTCAGCTCGATCATAGCACCATTTAGAGTAGGAGTCAGTATTGATATGATGACATTGAAGGCAATCAAACACAATGATGTGAAACGACAGACAGGAATCTTACATGATGAACGTCAATAGCATCCAGAAACTTCTCAAATGCATGAATCCACTCTTGGTGATTCCATACACATGGAATATCAACAGATATGACTCGGTAACCCTGAAGAATTTAAAAGATTACTTCTTTTTGTCAACTATATGATGTGCTCTATCCCAAGTACAAAACTAAAAGAGCCCAAACTGCAAGAAATAAAAGAAAACACCATTCTTGCTATCAAATTCGTGCCTGTCGTGGTATACCAATAACAAGGACATCAGATTTACAAACATAAATAGGCACAAGCCATGAAATCATGAAATAATACGTCTCCATAGAAGTGGTAATGGATATTTCTGGAGATTAAAGTTGAATAATGATGATAAAAAATAGTATATCCTACATATATAACACGCAGCGCAATTTCCTATCGTCCTCCTATATTTTTTATTTATTTTATTTTTTTTTCACACGTAACTATCAGCTCTAACATTGTCCCACTCCACAATCCCATATCCAATGCAACTATTAGCTTTGACATCATCTCACTCCACAATCCCATATCACAGGCAACTATCAGCTCTGACATTGTCCTACTCCACAACACCATACCTTTGAAATCTGACCCAAAAGCTCATTAGCACCCATACCTCCAATTCCGGCCGAAATCGGATGAGAGCTTGAAGTTGATCTCCAAGTCGTTCAAAAATTTTAAAGTTTTGGTGCTCTCGCGTGAGGGGTTCAATGGTCTTGCCTCCGTTGCAGCCAATTGCAAGTAGAAATCCTAATTTTTCTGACTTTCTATGCGAATGTTACAAAAAGTGTGCATTTTTTTTTGTACGGTGAACTATATATAGATGGAAAAGTGGCTTTGAAACTTCGATTTGATTTGAAGGCCAGTGTATAAAATTTGAAATTTTTTGGGTTACTTCTGAATCCCGACATTTTTATCTTATATATTCTTCTGTGTGTTGATTCATTGGAGTTAATGTTGAATTAAAGAATTAATCTTATTTTTTAAAAGAATATTTGTTTTGAGATTGAATTTGTGAATCTTGAATATTTGAACTAGAAATTAGTCAATTAGAGGTTAGGAAAAAGCAGAGAGGTAATAAATTTGGAACATTATACACGGAGATCAAGAAGCCAAAGTGCCGAAGTTTTTAAGGCAAGTTACTCTTATTTTTATGCTTCTTCTCCTCCATAAGATACTGAAATTGCAAGCTCACCTTTTTGCAATTTCAGCATTGTTAATGCTACAATAAAAAGTCCACTATTATTAGATATATAGAAAACAGCTTTTTTTGATCAAATTTAATGTTCTGACACTTCCATAGTCTATATTGTATTGCACGTGGATTTTGATTTGATGCTGCAACTGTTTTACGTAGCATATACTCGTGGCACTAGAAGAGGGGAAGCGGTGAAGGTGAAGGAGGCAGGTGAGAGGACATAGAAATGATGTGAGGATGGTGGAGATTTTTTGAATTATTGGGTGATGAACAAGAAGAAGGTATTTATAGTTATTAGTGTGTTGTTGGGCCTAAAGAGTATTTACATGATTATGGAGGGAACAAATTTAGTGAAAATGATAAAAAACCATTTTTGAGTCACCAGATGATTGCTGCTCCGTGCCAACTGCTGCTCAGCAAGTACGGGAAAACAATTCTTAATTGTTGGTACGCTTTGATGGGTGTCATAATAGCTCTATTTGTGGTATTTCTATCTATTATTTTGGAGCTGGAGGGTCCGTACCCCTTAATTGGTGTTTGGAGACATAGATCCTTGTTCCCCCTTTTTGACAGAGTGAAGTGCCATACTTCGAGAATGAGATGGTTAAGAGGAACTCTAAGTCACTCTTTGGCTCTACCCATGAATTATCGAATAATAGGTCTTTCACAATGAGATCCCTCTCTTCCAATAGTGTAGCCAACCAATAAATAAAGGTTTTAGCTCGATCGAAACTCTGCACACACTTTTTATTTATTTTTTAGTAGTGGGCTTTTGTTTTGGGCCCCCTATTTTTTTTTAATAGATAGTATCCAAATGCTCATTTTAATCAGATTTGGTTTAGAGATCAGATTTAAGTCGAGTTGTTATCTTGCTTGTGACCTCACTTTTTATTTATTTATCTTCTTTATTTTTTAGTAGTGGGCTTTTGTTTTGGGCACCTTATTTTTTTTTTAATAGATAGTATCCAAATATCCATTTTAATCAAATTTGGTTCAGAGATCAGATTTAAGTCGAGTTATTGTCTTGCTTGTGACCTCATTTCTCTCTCTATTGTTTTTGCATTACACTCTCTTATTCTTTCTCTCTATCTATATCTATACTTATATATGTAATTGCTGGATGGAATCAAATCTTTTTGTAGGTGCTTCATTTTTGAATTTCTTATTTTGTTTAAATGGAATTTTGTTTACAGGAAGTCGAGAATTGGACTTTTTTTTTAATGTGAATAAATATCTAGAATTTTTTTCTATTTAGAATTTTATGTATTATTTATATTTCATATATTTTAGTGCTAAAAATTTAATCTTTCTTGAGTAATTATCTGGTTTCAAGATAATATGTTTATTTTGTTTTCTGTTTATTTTTGCTTTGACTATGAATCAACGTATTTGAGTATGTGTTTCTCAATTTAGAAAGAATAAAATAAAAGTACAAACATGATTAAAGTGCTTTATCATTGGTGGAATGAATCAAGATCTTTAGATTGGGAATTGTAGTTAAAAAAAAAAAAAAAAAAAATTAGAAATATTGATGGAATCTTCTCTAATCTCATTTTCCTGGCCTATAATTTATGTTTGTAAAATAGGATGATATTTGTGGAAGGTCATTTGTTATTAAGAATGAAAACAACACTACTTACTGTTAAATAAAGATCTCGATTCATTCCACCAAAGATGTTTTTCAATTACAATTTCAAAATTATGATGAATAGATTAATGTAATAGAATTGTGTATTTGTATTGGTGTTTAATGTTAAATTTTTATTTTAGGCTTTTGAATTGTAACATTGGAATTCTCAAGAGTGTGATTCTATAATTTTCGTCGAAATTCTACTTCTTAGGTAAATAATGGCTTGCTCTAACTCGTTATCAAATATATTGAAAATTTTTGAAGCTTTGTCGACTTTTATAATTGTGGCCTCATCAGCTTATATGATTGGTTATTGTAAAGCTTTAATTGTGAGATAATTCAAATATTTTGTAATTATCTTTTAGTTTAAGTTTCAAGTCAGCCATAGATTATATAATACACCATTGGATTTTGTATTTACGTTGATTTTTGAAGAGCCCAATTTATTGTTATAGAAGTACAATTTTATATGAATGACAAAGGGTTATCTCACAGATAAAAAATAGGAGCGAGTTCTTGGTTTGATCCTTGTTTTCCCTCTATGTAAAGCTCCTCTTGGACTAAATGGCTCTGTAATAAGGTAATACACATACCTTTTCATTTGTATATTAAAATTGTATTTTTAAAGGATAATCTTTATTATAAATTGAAATTTGTAGGTGATGTCAAATTTGTTCCATTTTTATTTTATGTGTGGTCTGGTGAAGGTATGCTTACTTTACCATACTTTAGCAAGGTATCTTGTATTTCTTTTTTGTTGCAATTTTTCCTTGTTAACTCTTTCTATCCAGGTTTCCTTTTTCTTTTCTTTTCTTTTTTCCCCCCGAATACATAGCTGTGTACTAAATTTGCTTCCAATTGTTTCAGGAAGCTCGTGGGTGTGCTGAGGTTCCAGAATCACTAAATGGTAGTTGAATGTTTAAACTTCACGTCTTTAATGCCTCTTTTTGCTCTATTTATGCGTATTCATTTGTGTTTAGCTTGGTTTTCTTGATTTGATTTGTGGGTTATTTTTGTTTGGTGCTTGGGGGTAGTAATAAATCAGTGGTGGTGGAATATTTAAAGTCTACATCCCCTCCTCGATGTGTTTGTTTTTTGTTCTATTATTGTGTGTTCATTTTATTTGAGTTTTCTTTTCTTTTTAATTTTTGTAAAAGTTTATATGTGCTGATTTAAAGTTCTTATCGAGGAGCTTCTGCCACTAAATATTATGGCAACTGGTCAATTTTTGTGATGAACTACACAAGCATTATTTTACAATTACAAACAACTGCCTATCTACCGGATGCTTGATTTTGATTTCCTTTATGGTAAATATGAGAGTAACATCTCATGCTCTTATTTATATGACTGAAAATGAGTTATGCCGTACTTGAAAGCTATTTCGATGAATGCTATCGACAAGTTTATATGCATGCTTTGTGTCAAAGCCATGAATACCTTAGGACGGTCCAAATAAGAACTTCAAAGAAGATGCTAAGTAGGTAAACAACAACAAACTTTGTATAAGCTATATATTTTTCTTTTTACTGAATTTAATGTATTGCTTCTTAATATGTGGTAACCAATTGTTTGTTTGTTGATATCGTTAGTTCTTATCTAATTCATTCTTTATAAACAAGATGTTCATTTTTTTATTTTTTTTAAAACCAGTTTTAAAATGTCTTTCACATTTACAAATGAATTTCTCGAAAATTTACATACTTATTTCTAACATTAATTAATCAACCAACGTGCAACGTGCGTTCACCCCACTAGTCAATAGAAAAGAGGAAGACAAAAGGGATGCTTTCTGGGTCGAAACAAGAACGTGTTTATAGCTGTTGAAGTATAAAGAAGAATACTCATTCGAGCCACAAAACATATCAAATATGGGATTATAATGTATTTTTCATTAATATATTTTCATCTTAATTTTTACATCCTGTTCTTATCTATTTATTTCATTAGCTTCAAGTGTCCAAAGCGAGAGAAACTTTTATTTTAGCTTTCATCTCCAGTATCGAGAGGATTCTAAAAGTTTGGATGGATGGAAGAAATTATTTCAGCCGATAGAGGGAAGATTAACTGCAATCCAATTACTTCTAGCAAATATTCTCATTTTGTATATCATTCGTTAGGATGCCAGTTAAGATTGTAGCAAGTATGGTTTTGGACCAAAATGAACGAGATTTCAGATGAATTGTGAGAAGTTCTCACATGACCCTTTAAAGTTCATTTCCAAGGATATTCTTCTTTTACCTGGTTCATAAAAGAGGATGTGTGTAGGGGGCAGAGATTTTCTTGTTGGATTGGTCCCCTTCTTCATTTCCAGAACTCCGTAATCTTTCTTTAAAAATTTTCCTATACCTTCTGTTGATTCACTACTTAATAATGGACGTGGATTGGAAATTTCAGTTTTAAAGTAACTTGAGAGGGTGACATTTTAAATTGTTGTGTTTATTATTCTCAATAACCCTTACTCAGACCTTTTCACACTGACAAAAACCTGCGGATTTTGAAGTCCTACTCCTCAGAACCTCTTTCTAGTAGGTCATTCTTCTGTATTCTTGTTGATTTGCCAACCACCTCACTTTGTCCCATTCAGACCCATTTGGGAAATTTGGATTTATGTAATCAATAACTTTCTATGACTGTTGTCACGTATGAAATTTAATATTTGTACTGCTCGATCTAAAAGCTTAAACTACCAGGGTGGACCACATGAATATCATTTAAATTTTATCTACAGCACGCCACATCACATGTAGGTGAGATTCATTTTCCCCATTAAATCCTTAAAAGTCCATAACTTCTAATAATGGGTGGCGCAAGACTTGACCCTAGGACCTTTGTTGTTGAACCACTTATCTAAAAATTAAATTGTTATATAAGACCACATGTATATCATCTAATCTTATCTCAAACATAAACTGTTAACTGATTCAAAAGAAATGTGTGTCACTAAGAAAATTAATTCTTGTTAACCTGTGAATTGATTTGCAAGAAATGTCCTTCTATCTATCTCCCCTTGTACTCAGCTATACATTTTGATGTCAGTTGTCTCTGGTGTAGACTTCTTTGTTAAGCCGGCTTTGATTTGGTTGTATGGGTTACTCCTTGAAAAGGCATTGGGTTTGATAAGGGCAAGAAGGTTGTACGCGGAAAGCTGCAATCTCGGCTACGTTTCAGTAACTTGGATAGAGAGAGGATCGGATATTTGAAAATCGAAATCAAGAAGCTTATAATTTAAGTTTTTCGTATCCTTGCGATATTGTAGACGAGTTCAAGAGCATTTGTTGCTCCTTAATTATCCTAAGCTGAAAAGCTATATTGTATTCTTAATTTTTTATTATTATTTTTTTATTTTTTTATTTTTTGGGTGTCAGTGGACTCCTTATCCTCCAAACAATTGTAGTTGAGCTTCTATAATTGATAAATTCAAGTTTGTCACAGAAAATTCAACCACACAACTCTACCCACAGAAGGTATACTTCTATGGTTTGGCTACTAGATACCTTTAAATACTTAAAAATAAACTGAGCGCCCAACCACGTAAATTTTTTTAATTACTAACACTATCATTAAATAAATTTGTACTATTTGACCTTCTTCCAAATCCATTGATACGAGATCCACATTAGATGTGACATCTCACATTATGAACAGAAAATAATTGCTATTATGATGTTGATAAATATCAACCTCTCACTTCTCAAAATACTGTAAGTTTATTTTTCTTTCATGAGGTAGAAATAAAAAAGGGAATTCAAGGACCAAGGGTCAATAGATTCTATTGTTAAAATTGGAATGCTCAACACCAATTACAAATATTAGCCGCATTTATTATTAAACCGCATTTGAGATTTCTTTTGTAGTCAGAAACATCACTTCGGAGCTTAATTGGCTTGCGATTCTACAATCAGAGACTTCAAAACTGAGACATCTGGGTCACTTGAACATATTCAGACAGGGACTCCAAATATTACTAAAAGACAGGCTAGATTGGGCCCTCTTCACAGGACGTGTGTGTGGCAATTAAAAAATACTCATTCAGTTCTAAACAGAATGTCTTGAACTTGACTTTGTTTTAATTGGACATAATTCCATAGCATTATTTTAGAGAAAACTATGTAACGATGAAACTAACATGTACAATAGTTTCTGAAGTTTGATATGACAAATAATAAACGTGTAAAATAACAGTCCGAGAAACCGACAGCCTGACCAGAAAATGTCAAAAAAGATATTCAGATTGGATAGAAGGGCACAAGAAACAAAAGTTTTACGAATGGAACTGATTAGGTAAGAATGCATGACTACCCAAAGAATATTTACTACTTCCAAGAGTGCAAGCCTATTGAGTAATTAATTCGACAAGGCTAATGATGAGATTGCCTGATGGTTTCAGTACAATTTTCAATTTGTTTACGGTAACAGTGAGCATACACAATCATATGCAAGATAATATGCAAAATTTCAATGTACTATACACAATCATATACAAGATAATATGCAAAATTTCAATGTACTATAACACAACATGTTGTCAGATTGTGGGAAAATGGCATATAAATCAAAAAAAGCTAACAGATATTTTATTTTCTTATCTTATCTT